GTTAGATCTAAGAAAGAATATGTTAACTGCGTCTAATTTTGGAGTGGTAATAAAAAGAAGAGAAAACAGTAGCAAAGCCAAATTAGTGAAAAATATTTTGTATAAATGCAACCTCAGTAAAGTAACTGCAATTGCACATGGCGTGGAAAACGAACAACTTGCTATAAAACAACTCTCTATTCAAGAAAATGTTACAATTAATCCCTGTGGTTTGTTCGTAGACCACGAATACCCATTTATTGGTGCCACGCCAGATGGTTTAATAGGCCAAGATACAATAGTAGAAATCAAATGTCCTTTAGTGGCTTTCAAAACTAGTCTAGAAAGTGCCATAAAGGAGAATAAAATACAGATAAGGAGATATAATAAAAAAAAATGATACGATCATACTGAACAAGAACAGTAATTGGTATTTTCAGATTCAGGGTCAACTTCATGTGGCATGTAAAAATAAATGCTTGTTTGCTGTGTGGAGTGGCGAAAACCATAACCTCAAAACGGAAATTATAGATAAAGATGATGTGTTCTGGGAAACGAAGATGAAATCAAAACTATTGTCATTTTATATGGACAGGTAAGAGACCTGAAATTGTAGATTCTCGTCATGCTCGAGGAATGCCACTTAGAGAAAAAGAATCTCCCAAGCTCGATCATCAAGTCGAAAATAATCCATGTCGTAAGAGAAGACTGATTTTTGACGGATCACCAACACTTCTTTCTTCTTCAAGTGACGATGAGAAAGAAAATTATCTGTGTCGTAAGAGACACCTAAGTTTTGAAGGATCGTCAAGAATACTTTCTGGTGCATTTGGTGCCAATCAAGAAAACAGTAAAGTAAACAGTTAAGTTTTGATGAAATGTAACAAATTCGTAAAAGAGCTGAAATTCAAATGGTTGCCGAGGTCTGGTCCTAAAATGTATCCTCTCAAAATCATAAATGTCTTGACTTGGCTAGTTTTCACATACAAGATAGGTTTATCTAATAAGGTTATCTTGTTTTATGTTAAACGCAAGTTAAATGACATTTACTTTGTTGGTAAAACTAGCTAAGTCATCATGACATTTATGATTTTGAGTAGCGATGTAACGATACCGATATATCGGCCGATATCAACTAGTTCGAAAAGCGCGCGAAACGAACGAGGCGTGCGACGTTGCCGCTTTTAGCATCGCGTCATCTCAACGGTCGCTTGGGCCGGCCAAGGCTAACACACCGTCCCCCGCCCCGGCCCCAGTGCTTGCTAAGCTTTGGTTGAGTAGTGTTGTGTTTCAATTATCTAATCTTGGTGTACTGTTTGATGAGCAGTTGCATTTTGAATCCCACATCACGGAAGCTGTGCGCAACTGCTTCTACCGACTCAAGCTTCTATATCGTGTGCGTCCCTTAAGTGTGGAAATGCGTATCATGCTGTGTGAGTCGCTAATTCTGTCGAAGCTGAACTACGCTGACACTATGTATGGGGCATGCATTCTCGGTAGAAGTAATAAGTTAATCCAGAGAGTTCAAAATGCTTGTGCGAGGTTTTGTTTTAATGTTCCCCCGAGATCCCACATAACTCCATTCCTGAATAAGGGTGGTTTGTTGAAAATGTCAGATCGCAGAAAACTTCATCTGGCCACCCTACTCTTTGGAGTTATTCTTACAAAGAAACCAGTCTATTTATATAATAAATTGACTTGGTCACGTGATGTGAACAAAATAAATACCAGAGCATCTTCTTACCTCTTGTTAACTTTGTCCCATAGAACGGCTGCTTTCCGTGGTAGTTTCAAACACACTGCCTCTCATATTTGGAACAATCTGTCTCCACCTCTTCTTGCTATGAAAACAGTTGGTGCTTTTAGTAGAAAGTTTAAGGAAGAATTATTACATGCCCAAAGTATTTCCACATGAACGTACCTGTGGTCTGTACACAGTTGTGTGTAGATTTGTTTCACATTTAGATACTCCAAGCAGCAATTATACACTTCTAAACTTGTCACTTGAATTATTATTGTTTTGTTTGCACATAATTTTCTATTTTGTATTAATAAAACTATTTTTATTTATTTATTTTCTGATGCTGGACGCATGTTTGTATGAAATACTTTTACGTATGTTTATTTTTCTGACTTCTTTTCTTAAGTACTCAGACAGCCGACCAAACATTATCTCTAGTATATTACTATAGTCTATGCGACCAAATCCAGTGGTGCCACAGACTATGCCCTATATCTGCGCCTGCGTGTCTACGGGCGCCCGCACATTCCATCGATTGTCTATGACAGAGAGGGACAAACGTTACCTACCGGGGCATGCACGCGTTGGTGTCGATGTATTGTTCTGTGGCATAACTACATCTTTCTTGTCATTTATATTTGTATACTATTTATAGAATATTTTTAGTAGGTATTTTATTACTATTATTTTTTGTTTATAATTTTTATATATATCTAATATTTATATATCTCTATATATTTATATATGTTAATCTGTTTCTGTGTTCCGTGAGTGTGTCCGTGGCATCACCAGGCCCTATCAGAATACCAGCGCTGCGGTATTTTTACCTACTGGTGAATTATCGCAGCATATGCTGAGATAGTGGCCTTTTTGACCTCGCACAGGTCTTTTATTTTAATATATTTTTTTGTTGTTGTTTTGTTTATTTTTTCTTTTTGTATTTATAAAATGTAATTGTGTTTATTTTCTGTGCGAGTTTCAAATAAATGTTTTTTCTTTCTTTCTTTCAATTTACGTTACGTCGCCGCTTTTATTTCGTGATTCATTCTATTTAATTATTGACACTGACTAGTGAGGACTGTTATACTATTTTATTTTATATAAAAGAAAATGGCAACGCCATTAAAACGTACAAGTTCCATCTGGAATCATTTTATAATAAAACAGGATGATGATACAAAAGCAACTTGCTTATACTGCGATGTCAGCGTTTCTCGTGGTAGTAAGGCAGTTTCATCGAAGGGCTTTACGACATCTAACATGTGGACACACGTGAAGCGTTATCATGAAAAGGAGTTGAAAAACGACACCCCATCTACCTCGACCACTGAGGTCGGTCCGCCACTCAAAAAACAATCTACATTAGAACACGTTCTGAACAAAAATGTTATGTATGATACTGATGACCCCAGAGCAAAAGCGATCACGCAAACGATAGCTGAACAAATATGTATAGATATGGAGCCGTTCGATATAGTTAATAAACAGGGTTTCAACGCACCATTAAGCAGTTGTGCCCTAAATACAAAATGGTTTCCCGGCCACATATCTCTGAAAATGTGATACCAGACATTTACTGTCATGTGAAAACGAAAATAAAAGAACTTTTGCAAGAACTTCCGCACATATTTGTTACGACTGACTTATGGACTAGCGACGCTTCTGCATTCGTGAACGACTTTATAAGTCTGACTGCTCATGGAATAAATAACAATTTTGAGCTTAAGAACTACTGCCTAGCAGTATTTCCTTTTGAAGGCGAAAGACATAGCGGTGAAAACATAGCTGAAAACTTACGTCAGTTATTTCAAGATTGGGGTATCGACGAACAGGTACGAGCTGTAGTAACAGATAATGCTCCTAATATGGGGCTTGCTGTAACACAAGTGGGTATGGAACGTATCAGATGTATGGCACACTCTTTACAATTAGTGCTGAGGGAAGCGTTTTCGGGAGAAGAGAAAATAAATGAAATGATTACAAAGGCGAGGTCTATAATTGGTCATTTCAGTCATTCTACGTCAGGTCGTAAAATCCTTACTGAAATGCAAAAATCTCATAATGTTCCTTGTCATGTGCTCATCCAGGATGTCGTCACACGCTGGGATTCTACCCTTCAGGCACTTAGGAGACTTCTTGAACAGCTGCAGTTCAGTTGCAGTTCAAGCATCTTTACCCCATGTGAAGTGTAAAACTGAATTGGCTACAGAAGAGTGGGTACTAATGGAACAGGTTGTCTCAGCGTTGACTTATTTTGAAGAAGCAACAAAGTCCGTTAGTCAAGAGTCTGCTTGCTTGTCTGACGCCATACCGCTGATCAACAGTTTACGAAGAGTCTTAGAACGCATCAAGAACACCACGGCTATGGATGATAATGCTTATAGCCCTGAATATAATGCTTTTATACTGAATTTGATAGCTGGGATCAATGATCGATTTGATTATTTAGAGACTGATGAAACATTTATTTTAGCAACAGCACTAGATCCGCGCTATAAATTGCGAACGTTCACTCTGCAATCTACAAGCGTGAATGCGTCCGCGTAATCTACAAGAGTCCTCATTCTACAGAGGCGCCGCAACAAAATCAAAATGATATTTTTTCGGGTATCTGGTCTGCTTGTGATAGTTTGATAAAAGAAGCCGAAAACGACGAGCCTTTATCAAACATGTCTATTCAGCCTGAGCAAGAAGATGTAGAATCTTATTTACGATTTCCAAACATACCAATCAAACAAGATCCAAAGATCTATTGGCGCCAAGAAGATAAATATCCAAAATTAAAAAAGATTGCACAAAAATACTTGTCTTACCCAATGAGCTCAGTTGCTTCAGAACGTCTCTTCTCAACTGCAGGCCTGATACAAAATGATTTACGAAACAGATTATCTGCTGATAATTTGAATAAACTTTGTTTTCTTAACAAAAATCTACAAAAAGTAAACTTTAATTATTGACTTTATGTATCATTTTTAACCCTAGCCACCTAACTTTCGTCGAATCGACGAGTACACCACATTAATATTTTATTAACCGTTTTTTGGTGGGCTAAAAGGTTAGGTGTCTAGGGTTTATCAATAAATTAACATGTGATTGATTTTATTTGAATAAAACTAATAAACGATTTTTTCCATTCTAATTACTGAATTTTTATTTATTAAGGCTCGTATTCATAAAGTTATGGAAGGTTTATACAACTGTTATTACAGGTCTGATACACTGGTTTATTGTATGCTAAATACGTGACAACCAGCGATACTTAATATACGTTAGTTAGCTAATTAACTGTTTATTTTTTATGAATACCACAGTAAGTATTTTTCTTCAGTCTTCAGGACCTAGGTAAATACATATGGTGTTTCATACTTAGTAAATAAATAACTTTGAAGACAGGTGTAAGTACATCTATGTTTAAGTAGTTTCAATATCTTATTTTATTAACTTCCTTCAAATTTGTTTAACATACATAAAGCACTTAACTGCTAAGTCTTTGAATATCGGCATCGGTATCGCCGATTATTTCCGTTTGAAATCGGTATCGGTATCGTATCGGCAAAAATATGTATCGTTACATCCCTATATGAAATAACAACTTTAGCTTTGTTTTTTCTTTTGTTGATTTATGCGTATAACATTGATAACAGCGTTAAAATCTGCGAAATACTAAGTGGGAAAATTATTCCCAAAATACAAATAATGACAGAATGCTGGAATTTGAATGAAAGTAAGCTTTTTAGGGGATGTAGATGTGATATTTACATGTAATAATTTATTTGTAGGATTCACCATGAATAAGAAAACAAATTTAGGGAAACGGGAGTTAGAAGATATCATGAAAAACCTGTCAGATTTATCTGATCTTGACTCAGATGATGATACCTATTACCAAACAGCCCCTGTAACCAGCCCGGCAGATTACCAGAATGAGTCTCAAGATGTTATTGTTGAAAGGCGTCTTGAAGAGTTGTTTGGTATTTCTGATAACTTGGAAGAAACTATTGAAAGCCAAGAAATATATTCAGTAGAGGCACTCACAGATATTTTAGTAATAAATAGTCCTAGACCTATTGGTAGTGTGGGTGAGACAACAGGACAATATGATGCTCTTCCAACAGAGGAAAACTTTGCAACTTATGAAGAAAGCTTTGTTATGGATTGCAACCAACGAGAAACTGAAATAGACCAATGCTTAGATGATATTCGTGAGGAACACTCCCACTTTACTCCAATTTCTACAGATGACTTAAGTGCAGGACCTTCCAGCAGTAATGTTATTGTAACAGAACCGGATCGTCGCTCAAGATCAAGCAGAACTATGAATACAGTAAGACAACCAAGGGAGTGGAAAATTGAAACAGAGATACACAATGTTCCAGAATTTACCAATACAATTCAACCACAATCAACATATAGTCACAAAACGCGACCTATCGATGTTTTTCAAAACTTTTTCCCAGAATATTTAGTACAAGTTCTAGTGGAACAAACAAATAGATATGCGGTTCAGAATAAAAGCAATAATTTTACACCAGTTTTATCAAAGGAAATGAAAGCTTACCTTGGAATATTAATAATGATGGGGTTAAACCCATTGCCTGATATGGAGCTATATTGGTCTAATGACCCTTTTTACAATAATGCAGAAATTTCAAACATTATGCTTATCAAAAGATTTAAAAAAATAACTGAAAATTTACACATAAATGACAATGAAAAAGAACCAAATAGGAACTCACCGGAATACGATAAAATGTACAAGTTGAGACCAATGATTCAAGAGCTTAATAAACTGTTCCAGCAGGAAACAGGTAATTCAAGTAAACAATCAATAGACGAATGCATGGTGAAGTTTAAAGGAAGGTCATCTTTAAAGCAGTATATGCCAAAGAAGCCAATCAAGCGTGGCTTCAAAATCTGAACGCGCTGTGATTCTGCAACCGGCTAGCTGTACTAGTTCGAAATTTATACCGGGAGAGGAGACAGTATGGAAGACGAGGGACTGGGGTACAATGTGGTTAAAAAGCTGTCAGCCGGCCTTCCTGAGAACACTCTGATAGCGTTTGATAACTTTTTTACTAGCTGTAACCTAATGGAAGATTTGTACGAAAATAAAATTTTTGCTGTTGGTACAGTTAGAGTAAATAGAAAAGATCTTCCGGAAATTTTGAAAAAGTCTCAACCAAAACATTTAAAACTTGAAAGGAACCAATTTGCAGCTGTAACTGCTAAACCAATTACAGCAATCAGGTGGCTTGATACAAGGGATGTTAATATTCTTACGACAGCTCACCATCCAACTGACACAGTATTTGTAAAGAGAACTCAGAAGGATGGTACTAAAAAAGAAGTTCTCATCCCCACAGCTATCGCTCAGTATACGCTCACCATGGGAGGCGTTGATCATTTCGATCATTTCAGATCGTCATATCCGATCAATAAAAAATGCAGGAAGTTTTAGATGAGATTGTTTTTCTTTGTTTGATGCGGCAATCATAAACAGCTATATAACCTACAACACTGTGCATGTAGCAAGTACTCATTCTCATCGAAATTTTCGATTGCGATTGGCTCGTGAGCTGATATCAAATTACTATAACAAGGTAAAACGCCAGGTTCTTTTCAAAAACAAAAAGGGTTCCAACTTTGGAGTTCCAGATGCAATACGTTTACTCAATGTCGGCGTCCATGAAGGAAGGATGAAGGCTATACTTACAAAAGATGCCGATTTTGTAGTACAAAAAAAGAGGAAAGAAGAACAAAAATAGTATGTTCTACGTGCCAAGTTGCACTATGTGCAAAGAAATGTTTTAAATTATTTCACGAGGCTTCACCCCAAGAATAATTATATTAATAACACGCTTTTAGCTTCACTTGTAACTAAGTATATTAATTATTAAAATAAAAATGCGATTGCAATACCGCTTTTTATTTAGCATGCATGATAATATTCATAGGTAAATAAAATAAAAGTTCGTAACGTATTTCACTAGATTTAAAAAAAAATAAAAAATGTAAAAAGCGAAACCAGGTGAAATACTAGTATATGAATAACAACAAAACTAGGCATAATTCCCTTTACCTAAATAGGCAAAGGGAATTATTTTCCCACTTCGAGACAAAGTGCACATACATAATCGGGCAAAGGGATATTATTTCCCACCCAAAAAAAGGGGGTAAAAACCCATCCCACCTTTTTCAAAATACTTTTTTTTAATTCTGTAGTATCTATTCACTCTATTTCCACTGTAACTTACTTTCTAGCTCTAACACAAGCGCAAGCCTTATTAAGGGTTATAGAACCAGCAATTGGACATGACGAATCCACTCGAGGTCTGCCATCATCACCATCAATTTTAGACTGGTCCAATGAAATTAGTTCTCATACTCCCCAGATACAAACCGACCAGAATCCTGTTGACATTTTTGCTAAAGAGACATCTTCGGGCATATCATTTAACAGCAATAGAAATAAAGAGACGCCTTCCGCTGCTATAAATGAAGTTATCAGAAAAGATATCGCTGAGCCGAGCACTTCACGACGTATTTTAGAAGATTTGAGTCCTATACCACAAAAGACAATAAAAATACAGAGACGTGTTAAAAAACAGCACTCTATTATTCTCACATCAACTCCATTAAAAGAGCAATTAGAGGAAAAAGAACGAAAGCGACAAATGAAGATAGAAAAAGAAAAGAACGCTGCAGAGAAGAAAGTTAAAGAAAAGAATCAATCTAAAGGAAAGTCTGTCAAGAGAAGAGTTTTGAATGGTAGCGAAACTAGTGAGGATGAAGATAATAATATGAAAACAATAAGAAAAAGGTCAAGCAAGGAAAATCGAAAAGCAAAGGAAAGTCTAAAAAAAATATTGAGAGCAGCAGTGAAGATAGCATGGATGATGTGCCTCTAACTCAACTATGCGATGATGATGAAGATGACGATATAGAAAATCATAATATTTGCGCCGTATTTCAAGAGTTTGGACGTAATGGAGAAATCTGGTTCCGTTGTTGTAGATGCGCGGATTGGATACACAAGGAATGTAGCGGAAAAGATTCTGCTAATAATTTTATATGTGATTTTTGCCGTGATTAATTTTACTTGCTATTTAATTGATGTGAGGTATTTTTGAGACTGACTAGTCTATATATAATTCTAAGATTTAGTAAGACTCCTAGTTATAAAATAAGATTTACGTTTTGTTGTCATAAATTATAAGTTTTGTAATTGTATTTTTTTATTATCTACCCATTTGTGTGCAATTAATGTGGGCACGATTTTATCAACCCTGGGCACGATATTATCGGACCAGTTTGATAATACCGCGCCTGTAGTTATTTTTGTAAAATGACGATAATTATTTTTTGTTTGAATTTTGGAAGTTTTTGTTATACGGTATGCGTACCTGAATAAATGTCCTAACCATCACAAAATTTTGTTTCTTTTAAAATCAAACAGTTTCCTAATTATAAGTGAAATTCCTTAGGGGCGCGGTATTATCCAACTCTCCCCTAACAAAAGTATTATAGTTTTAATTACTTATCCCTTTTATTTTACAAGCACATTTGTAGAGGTTGGGCATCTATCCCACATTTACCCGACATTAACACGAATCGTCGGTACCCGAGACAAGGTAGCTCTGCATTTTATTTACTAAATGATGGTTTGCAAACCCGGACTGACCGAGTCCGGGTTTGCAAATCATTTTTAATAAACACCTTGGGTATTTCGCCTGGAACTATACGAACTGTGATTGTTTGAGGCAAACACGGGAAGCATTGCGTTGCATACGAAAATGCACCAGAACAAGAAAAAGTTAAATTATACGATAGTTACAAGGTTCACCAAGAAGAAAAAAGCTTGAGTAGGACTGAAAAAGATAGAGACATGAAAGAATGTCAAGATTCTCAAAGCACAAAGATCGTATGGACCTACGACTTACAAGCTGTCTTGCCATGCCCTTTAGGAAAGTTAAATCTGGGCCAATCTATATTCCTGAACAATACATATCCATAATACGAGGAGCGAAGAAGACAGGGAAACCATTTTTGGTGAGAGAAATGAACTACAGTGATTTTGTCGATCTTAAGGCTTTGACAGATAACATAAACTTTAACATGAGCAAAAATATTAACGGGGATACAATTAAAATCAGCGAGATTATGGGTATTAAGTTTATTAAAAATTGAGCCAATTATCAATATCGAACAACGTACAAGACTGAAAACTGGGAGGAGGCCAAAGCTATATTAGAACCAAATAGAAATAACTTACGTCGAGCTCGAGGCAATGTTACAAACATTAACGAAGTCGTTTTGAAACCAGCATATACCTCGAAAATTCCTATTACAGAAATGCAAGAAGCACGACCTTTTGAGTTTGGTAGAAACAAACATAGTACCAAGATACTATGAAAAGTTTTTTAGAGATCTCATTTCATTTTATTAAACTATTAAATATTACACGTATTGAAAACGAATTCAATATTTTGTTATTTTGCAAATTTATGTTTAATTGATTTAATTGTTTTGAAGAATTTATTAAGTGATTCCTAAACTACAATTTTAAGAATTATAAAAGATATAGGTGATTAACTCGCTGTGATGTCATAAGTCTGATTAAACTTAGAATTCAGATAGTAACTAGGATTAGGAGCATTGGTTCTGAACCCAAAGATATTTTTTAATTTTAATTGTAAGTAAATATTAGTAGTTAGTAGTTACTAAGATAAAAAGTGTATACATACTTACGTAAAATTCTCTTTTAGTTCTAATAAGATTGTTAATTGAAAGAGTTTCTTAGACTATTTACTTTTCGTAGCTTGATTTTTTTATTATTTTTGTAGGTATAATTTTTCTTTAGAGCCACAATGTCACTTCTGAGGGGGTTAGAAGGCTTAAATAATGGTATAGTATATTTTTTACAATATAAAGTGTTTAATATTTATCCAAAAGTAAAGTTAAAGGTGGATGTTGTAGTATATATCTCATCTTTATATTCTTAAGTCATTGTTTTGTGAGGTGTCAAAGTTTAAAACGCTTCTCCTTAAAAACTACATTTTTGCATAAGTGACAGTGTCGCACCGGGGGTGCGATATGTCCAAACCAGTTTTAACGAATCTGACAAGATTTGATTTGATTCGTTAATATTTCTTTATTGCCGGCAGTAGTAATTGTCAAATAAAGGTAAAATAAACCTTAAAATCTAAGAAATAACGTTGTCAGCACCTGCAGATGAAAATACTATGATATCTACTTTTCACTTACTATGGACATATTGGTTTTTGATATTTATCAACTCAATTTGTCTACAATATTCTTCTCCACTATGACAAGATTGATTTGAATCTTGTTGATTTTTTTGTTTTAGAGCTATAAGATAATGTTTAAAAGATTAATGATCAGTTTAATAGAAGTTTTGTAATTTTGTTTTTTTTTTAATAGTTTTTTACATTTATGCATAAAAATAATGAAAACATTGATCTCAATAAATGATTCCATACGAAAATAGTTTTATAATTTGAGAAAACTAGCTTTTAGATAAGCCCATTAATCATAAAACAAACTAGAGCTCTTATATTTCTGAAAGTAATAAGCGAATCATGCTGTATGTAGTGACGCCTGATACACTACACCTTAGTCAAATGTAGATTAAAAACTCACCTGACAGAAGGTTAAAGGACTATTAGGGATCTGTTTACCAGGTTTATTTGTACCAGTTTGACATTAAGTCTACATTCTTAGATAATACATCCTTCAGAGTGCATGCTGTACTCTGATTCTGATCTGAGGATTCAAAGGTAGTTTAGTCTACAACACTAAAAGTACTCGAAAATATAAATGTAAGTAAATTTATTATACCTTCTATTAAAATACATGATTATGTTTCCGCTTCTAAACTAGCAATGGCCATTTTTAAAGCCCCATCTCTTGTTTTGTTGCCTCCAATAAATCCAGTAGTGTGACAAAATATACAGTCCTCGATTCCTGCTATTTCACTCAGGTCTTCGTCTCTTATACCACACCAATTTGGATGCAAGGGTTTTCTGCAATTTACAAGAGTATAATTATTAACATATTCTACTAAGTAAAGAATATTGGGGCGTCCATAAATTACGTGAGGTGTTGTTTTAAATTTTCTGCCCCTCTCTTCCCCCCTGGTGAGATGTAATGAGATTTTATTCAACCCCCTCACCCATCCCCGAATCTCACATGAGATTTTTAAAAATGTGAGTGTCTTACGGATTTACCTTGGATTGTTATTGTAAAAAGAAAAAAAACAAATTTGCATCGTCTTTTTATTAGTAAATCTTAATAGTAGATCTTAATCTAATCTATACTTAAATATAAAAATGGATCGCAAAATGTGTTGGTAAGCGCATAACTCAACAGCGCCTGGGTCAATTTTGCTAATTCTTTTTGTTGTTTGTGTTATTGTTAGGAGAAGGTTCATATCAAAGAAAATATTAGAAAAGGAGAGGGGAAAATTGGAAAAAAGTGACCCTTTGATAGCGAGATAGTTGGACCCGTGTGAAGCAGGGGTGGTCCGCTAGTTTTCAATAAAGGTACAGTTATACATTAAAAGAAACATGGATATACAATTATTAGTTTGCACTGAATCTTTTTTAGGACTAATTCTGTTTCTATGTTATACTTACTATCACTTTCCTAACAACACTATACATCATTATTTTACTACAAGAGACTAGCTACTCTCGGGCAGTTTCACCCGCTGCTCAGCTCCATTTGATTGTAGCGTGATGGCTTATAGCTTATAGCACTCAGTAACATAGTAGTTATCTATCAGTGAAAGAATATTGGCAATCCATCCAGCGGTTCTAAAGATTACCTCCACATACAAACTTACTAATTTTATTTTACCTCTTTATAATATTAGTATAGATGAGGAGTGGGATAATTTTTTTTTAGATAAAGATATGTAAATTTTTAAGAAACAAAAATTGAAACCAACCTGGTAATAAAGCTAGTAGGATTAACTGGTACAGCTTGAACTCTCCATGAGTTAGGTTTGTCATTAAAAATTGCATATTTAATATCATGACCTATGTTCATTTCTTCTTCTAGATCAAACAAATGTTCTTTCCAGGGGAATTTTTCAGTAAACTCAACAATCTGTCCTGATTTATGTATTTCAAATCTATTCTCTAAGGACTCTCTAACATAGACTCTGGCAGGAAGCCAGACTTTCACATAGTAGTTGACAGTATGAAGAAACTCTTCGCTGACTAACAACAACGCTTTTTCAAATACTTCATCCATATTGATTAATTGTTTTGAATTCCATTCCGGATTTAACCGTCCTACTCTTCTGCTCAAATTAGTTTGTATTTTATAGCTTGGTTCCCCAGAACATATTGGAATTCCATTATCGATAGCATCAATTTCTTCAATTATATTTTCATATACCTTTCTGTAAATAACATCAAGGTCATTTGGAGTTAAGGATACATCATTAGACACAAGCTGCTTAATGATTTCTTTACCGTAGAAGGTGTATACCAGTCCCGCTGAACTTAACCTAAAACAATAATTTCAAGATTATTTATAAAAAAAAAAAACACCATATTCGTATTCCCATTGTAAAAACAAATCAAAACTAAAAAGTTTGCTTTGCAATAAACTCAACCATAGTATTGTAAATGTTCTTTCAGCTTGTATGAGTGCACAGCTGAAAAGTAAACCTACTACACAACAATATTTGTGATAATCTAGACTTGGCAGTAAGGTTCAGGAGCACTGTTTCTTTCTGATCTCCGGATGTAGGTCCCAAGTTAGATGGACATTAAAGAGATCCATCTTAAAAACCAAACCAAGCTTAAGACTAAAAGTCCCAATTTATATATCGCTCAAACTTGAAATTTGGATAGGACAAGCACAATTCAAAAAACGATAGGTACAAGTGTAAGGATGGTACTCCACCAACCACACAACACAACAGAATAATATGAATGAATAATAAGAGTACTCACTTAATTTTATACTTGTCTCCAAGCTCCGGCCTCAAGGAACTCAGAGTTTCATTGAACTCTCTTTGATGATGATCATATTTCTTCTTTTCATGATCAAAGACGGCTCCAACATCGACTACAATGTCACAATCATTTAGTTTGGCCATATCTCGCGTCCGGACTATGACCGCATCTTTGTATTGGGGTAAAAGCTTGAGCATGTAGCATGCGAGTACTTCATCGCAATGGAAGACGCCATCATGAGTTCCGATCTTAAAAAAAAAAGAATGTCAATTATGTTATTGACAGATTTTGACGTATTATAATAATATGAATTTTAGGTTTACTGCAACTACCTCAGAAATTCTGATGAGTAAGCCGTATAAGACACTCCGGATAACTTAGGATTTGACATCAAGACAAGAAGTAGCATGTCTCGTTATCCTAGGTATTGACTGTTCAAACTACTTTGTACCTATACAGTACCAAACTATTGAATTTCATATGAATGTTTTATATTATATTATTATATTATATAATCAAAGACAATAAAGAAATAATATAAAAGTACTTATAATATAAATAAATAAATAACTAAAAATAATTAAAAATCAAAATCAAACATTTCTAACCTTCATAGTTCTTAATTGTTCGACGAACCGTCTATTTGAAAAGTTGTGCGAAGTATTATTATAAACTACGCTGCTAATTGAAAACAAAAATTTTCTTAACATCTACTTCTCCGTATGTTTCACAAACACGTGTTCTATATTGAATTAAATAATAACCACAGAACATATACCCTAACATCACACCACAGAAACACTATTTATAGCTACGTTTTGTTTGACAATATAAAGTATGAACCATAGACTATATAGTCAGAGCAAAGATAATAAATAGATTACAAGATAGTGCACTTTAGGCAAAAAAACGAGCCAAGCGAGATGCTCGTAAATAGGATTCCGTCCTTTTCTACTAGAGTGACTACACGATTTCGTCTTCCACGGACAACTAACAAACAAAATATCATTTATTATACTATTATTAAATATTTTTAATTACTGCGAGGTATAATAAATACATGCATGTAAGATAGGGAAACAGGCGTGAGTAAGTGTCTGGGGCGGCCATTTTGGGCGAATTGACGCAACTGTGTCGCCACTTTCTGGGTAGTCCGCGCAATATCGGCGCGTGTACTTAAAATGACAATATCTCAAATGTTTTGTATAGGAGCTTATGTAAAACTGTAATCGTTATGAAACAAGCTATATAAAATCTATACATATAAGATCTTTGAGTCAGAGACAGATGTGAGATAGGATAGGTACTTAATAGGACACAAGGACTTCCACTCATTGCCGCAAAGCGCTAGTATCGCATGTCACAGGTATTGACATAAGTCAGTGATGTGTATGTTCTATACAAGTGACCATGTGACATCGATTTTGCTTGAGTTGTACCGGTATTATTATCGATTTTTTATTTTTGGTATTCCAAATCTTATAATATTTCTTTTTATACTCGGAATTTAATTCCATTCCAGATTTGACAATTTCAGTGTTGCAACGTTATGACACGTAGTAAATAGTAACGTTGCGAAATTATTCGATATTGAAATCGAATATTTCTGAATCGATTCCTCTCGTTTATAAAACTCTCGTAAACTAAGTTTATCAGGAAATAAAATATTTCTGAACCGATAATTTACTTTTGACAATTAATTAATGATCTGAGACTTTTCTTTTGTAATTGAGTGTGAAATTAATTAAAAATGTGATCATGAAGGAACATGACAAATAAAAAAGAAATTTTAAATTGTCGCCGTCATCGTAACATTTATAATGAATTATTATTGTGTCTGTGATATTTATTATCAAGTAACATATCTAGCTTACTCATTTTTTCCTCTTCTTTGACAACATTGGATACGCATTTAGACCATTCAGTAGCCGTAATTTTTTTAATGCCTTCCTGAAACTGATTCACTGATTGTTTATCGATTTTTGTGTTCATCACTACACTGTTATATGTGGTAGGTATCATTATTTCACAAAAAGACAGTAGGTCATGTCAAATCTGGAATCGAATTAAAATTCTGACTATAGTTATATTTAACCCTAAAAATTAAACATAAATTAGGTAGTTTCAACTAACCATGGCGAAAAGATAAGTGAACATCAATGAACATTGGTATAACAAGGGTTATAATACAGGATGATTCTTGAAAGTGTAAGGGCAAGAAATGAGGCACCGTAAATTAACTTCCGATTTTTTATTTTCCATCAAGGTATCCATTTCTGACGCAGCACCTAATAATTTGAATAATAATTTATAATAAAATAATTACTACTAATCTGAATCTGCAAAACAAACAACTTTAAACGATTTTTTTACAATATAAACTGACAAGTGTATATAATAAGGCAACAATAAAACAAAACAAGGACATAGTCAGTCAAATAATTTACTTAATACATAAAATAGATATTTAAAACATCACAAGTAATAGCGTTATAGATATCGATACACAACAGCGACATCTATTACTCAACGAAGGATTGTATAGTAGATGTCACTAGTGTGCCGATTAAACTTTAAGAGTTTTAATCGTCTAAACGACAGATGGCAGCAGTAGTGGGAACAGAAGTAAAACATTAAAAGTTATATTTTTACTTTCTTCAAACACTTTTAGGAAATGATTGGTGAAAATGTATTTTAGAAAGAAAGATTATGTTGATTTAGTTCCTATTATACAATTAATTTCAGGATGAAGGTAACGTCAAAATTGGTTTGATTTCATTTAATTTTATATAGGTAGTTTTTGGCTACCAATTTAACATCCTCATCAGCTTATAAGTGCCCACTGCTGAGCAAATGCCTCTTCTCATGCGAGGAAGGTTTGAGTATTAATCACTACGCTTGCTTAAGGCGGATTGGTGATTTCAAACTTATAATTAGAAATTATAAGTCCAGGTTTCCTCACGATGTTTTGCTACAAACCTATGTCAGTGGTGTCTAAATAAGGCCATTGAAATTACATATAATTCGGGAAGGTACTTGCCAGGTGTCGAACCCGCACCCTTATTTATGTATGTATGATAAGCGTCTTTACCTCCGGGCCCCCACAACCAACTTAACGCGGATATGTTATTTATTCCCTCCTTGAGGAGTGGCTTGAAACACGCCACGGCGTCCTCGCCTAAGGAGGAGCACGAAAAGAGCGTTTACAACCGCTGCGGCTCTATTCCTGGCTATATACTCTCACGCGGTTTCACCCGCTGCTCGGCTCCATTTGATCGTAGCGTGATGTATTATAGCCTATAGCACTCAGGAACATTGTAGCTATCTAAAGAATTTTGGCAATCCGACCAGTAGTTCCAAAGATTACCCCCCACATACAAACTTACTTTTACCCAATGATGTATAAATCTATAGATACGTTGTCCGCGCTCTAAAATGGCAACATGAAATGAAGGCAATTTGACAACATCGCGCTTAGTCACGCACCAACCTCCCGCGCGACGCTACGTTTGTTATAATTTATATCGTGTGTGTAAACCTGTGCGAAACTAAAGAAAGCATGCCGTCGTGTGTGTTCAGAGGATGTACAAATTATACTCTAAAAGTTAAATACAAAAATGTGTCATTTCATGCGTAAGTTCACCAAACAACCTATTTTTATTTTATTTATTTCGACGCCGGCGCCCGCCATCTTATGGCGGCCGGCGCATGAAGGTATAGTCACGTGCCGTCGGCATAACTGAAGATGTATATTTATCTCACTCTAGCAAAGGCATTCCACTATACGAAGTCATATTTTCTTCCCTTTCTTTACTCGTAGAAGTAGTTATCTAGTATTTTCGCCGTTTTTAAGCGCCGCGATGTTGGTTCATGACGTGTCTATATATAATACGTCATTGCTTTTACCTCTTCATAATATTAGTATGTAATGTCGTGGTGGCCCGGAGGTTAGGGAGCCCGCTTCTCATGCATGAGGGCGTGGGTTCGAAACCTGGCAAGTACCAATGTGATTTTTTCCGAGTTATAAGTACTTTCTATGATTATTTAGACACCACTGACATACGGTGAAGGTAAATATCGTAAGGAAACCTGGACTTCTAATTTCTAATTATAAATTTGAAATCGCATTGAGCAAGCGTGGTGACTAATGCTCTAACCTTCTCCGTGAGAGAAGAGGCCTTTGCTCAGCAGTGGGAACTTATAGGCTGATGATGATGACGATGAAGTGTCCTCACCATGTTTTCCAGTACCGGGTGAAACTTAATAAGGTACAACTAATCACTAAAACATAGTCAAAGGAGGTATTTTGTGATATAAGTTTTCGGCATTTAGTATAGCAAACTTAATAATAATAATTAAAAAAATATATATATTTAAGTTGCTTATACAGTGAGAATATAGGGGCATATATGTATTTATTGAATGCTCTATTATACGCACTATCGGAAAACACATAACAAATTAACTGTTAAAATTTAATGGAAATTTAACTGTTAAAATTTAATGAAAAGTCTATGTACCGACATTCACCAACTAAGAGGACAGGTGACTGGATAAAAGTCGTTGATAGGCTTGCCTTGTGCTTTCCATAAACCCGACCTTCGTAATAAGGTAACGCGACAATGGCCTGAAGAAGGAGAAGAAAGTTGGAGGATTTTAGTCAGTAAGAGTCTGATAATCCCTCTAGCCCCTTCTAGGGCGAGAGAAGAACCTAATATAATAATAGTCCCCACTCATAACAAATAAAATAGCTTACTTTACAATTTTCGCTTAAGTTATTCTGTGCGGGAAAAACGCAACTCGATGCGGTTGCAGATGCAAGACTAGCTAGCAGCTGTAGCTAGTGTTGTATATTACTAAATACCTACATAAGACCGAAATCAATTACCGATGTCAATCCACTTTTAATTTAAATCGATTATTGAAAATCTTTCAGGGCTGATTTTTCAATGGTATCTGGGGAGTAATTATGATACTGTCGCGTTAGATTGTTGGTATAAGACAGTGACAGCAACAATTTTATTCCTTAGATAACATTTATCTGACTTTTGAAAAATCAGCCCTTATAGGTACTTTACATAGGTACTTATGTACTTAGCTTAGTTAAGTACTAACATGGAGTTTCTGTCAAAAATCTATATTTTTTTTAATCGATAAATTATAAACAGTGATCGGTTATTTCTTTCCTCTATTATGTACTGACTGAAACTTAAGGCAACACTCAATCCAAACTTACCTATATTATAAATATAAAAGTAAAAATTATTAATGTAAAACTTACATTATAAATGTGAAATTTACATTATAAATGTAAAACTTATATATTATAAATGTAAAACTTATATTATAAATGTTAATGTAAAAGTAATTCTGTCCGTCTGTCTTTTTTTTTCACGCCTAAACTACTGAACCTATTCGTGCGAAATTTGGTACATAGTTTGGAACTCGAGAAAGGACATGGGATAGTTTTTATACTAAAAATCTGCAGGAAGTCACTATTCCACGCGAAGGGAGTCGCGGGCAAAAACTCGTACTCAATGTCTTCATTGCCTATTTTCATGTATTGAAAATATCGACTTACAAGAAATAACTGAGAGTTGACGTCGCCGAGACGCGCACGCTGCTCATGAATAAAAGTCCCGTAGTGACTTGAAACAAGTAGAGCTTTTCTCGGTGATTCCACGTAAGTCGTTATTTTCAATAAATTTGTCGGCGATAGTTACTATACAAAAGTCTTTATTGCTTCACCATAAGTATCAATTTGTGTGAGATCAATTATGGACTCTGTAGGGAACTACGAAATGGG